TTTAAAGAATTTAATTGGCTAGTTCACTATAATAAGGTAATTTTAATATATTTGATTTAAAAATTCGCTATATTAAGGGTTCGCTATATCAAGGTTTGACTGCACGCTACACCATATGATTAAATAATTAGTTTTTGTGTAATAAAATCACAGTAAATAATATATGACTTAGATACATTATACTAAACTAACAGATTTACTAATTTACCTTTTAGGCTCTGATTGGCTGGTATAATTGAGATTAGTTAAAATTAGGATTAGGATTAAGCTTAGGGTTAAGGTTTAGGTGATTTATCACTGACGTGATATCAATTTTTATTAAGTATTTAGAAGATACAGAATATTTTTGGAATGGTGATGTTTATATTATCCTAAAAGCATTTCAAAAAATTCTGTTATCATCGATTATCTTGTTGATATAATAGCCTAAATTTAACAAAAATTATTATCTAATTTTTTATTTTTTTGAATATAACTTTATATAAACTATATGTAGCTTCTAAAATTACATCTTATATTATATTTTTGCCTGCTTTACAAGCTTTATTAGAGTTCTAAAAAAGGTTTTAAATGCCATTTTTTAGCATTTAAAATCACCTTAAAAGTTATGTTGATAAAGTTACATTATTAATTTAGGAAATGATCAATAAGATAACAGAATTTTTTGGGATACTCTTGCTAAATTGCAAAAACACGTGACTTAGACATATTACATACCTTTCCAAAAAAGGAAATCAGTATAATATATTTTACAAACTTTAATCCCATTTTGTTAAGAATCAAAATTTCCTTTTTTGGAAATTTGTGTAATATCACGTAATGTGACAGTGTATGTAAAGAAAATTTCTTTTACTAAAGCAATAAAAAATGGTTGTAATTGTTAAAAAGAATTTGCGGAAAGTTAAGTTTTCAATACATTTGTATCATAAAAATAGAATACTTTTTCCTGCATTTATTTTCATTTTGTCATTTTTACCCTTACAATTCTGGCAATATGCACGATATTTATAGAAAGAAAGAAATTAAATATAAACAAAAAATATAAATGGGCAAATTACTTTCCATCTTTGAATTACGATCATTTCATTTTTTACAAATTTACAATAAAAATAAATGCTACCAAATTGTTGTTTTACATACGAAGGTTTCGATATTACAACAAACATAAAGATTGGATAATTATAAATAAATAAATGAAAATAAATTAGGAACAAAAACAACAAATGAAACAACCAATATTAATTCTATATCCAACATAATACGTCCAAAATTTTTATGTGTCACTCCCTACCAAATACTCGAACACAATATCATTATTGCTCGACAAGCAAAACCTGTTGGACATCTTCATCCGCTTCAGCTCTTGATGTTTCTATTAAGTTGGCAAGACTAGCACTTCTTGAATGACTTTTGAAGGTATTAATAGCTTTAACTGCATCAACAGCCTTTTTGAATGTTCGACGAGCATTGAAATTTTCGCGAACACTATTCAACAAATCCCTATTTTGGAATCCACCAGTTGGGCTAGGTAAAGGTTCAGAAAGCCATGGATGAGACAAGGCTTGATGGGCGGTAAGACGACTGTCAGGATCAACAGTTAATAATTTATTGATAAAATCTTTAGCTATAGATATATATGATAAAGAATATTTTAAATTTGTATATACATTAATGAATCCACAAATTATTAAGAGTAATAAAATTTTTTACCAGTATCACTAATTCCATCCCAGTATTCCTTTTCGTATGTATAATCAGCTCGAATAATAGCATCCACTTCTTCAACGCTACTTTCCCTATCAAATGGCGTACATCCACATAATAAAAAGTATGTAATTACTCCTATAGCCCATAAATCTACTGGCTTACCATGACCAATTCTTTTGAAAATTTCGGGTGCCTAAAACAATGTTTTTACAATAAATATGTCAATTTATAGTAATAAGCGACTTGAAATAATCCGTTATTTCTTACCATATAACCAGGTGTACCACATGTAGTGGTAAGAACATGGAATTTTTCAGAATCAATGATCCGAGAAAGACCAAAATCGGCAATAAGAAGATCGGAATCCTCGGCTTTGGTTCTAAAAAGAAGATTTTCTGGCTATAAAAAAATATAAAATTTGATTAAAATAAGTGTAATAAAAAAAATATGAAGTTGCATTTATCTTTCAATTACCTTAAGATCTATATATAGTTCGTTCGTTTAAATGCAATGATAATTTTTTTTTTTTTAAATAAACGGTAAGCTATGCATAAACAAATAATAAATATGTAAAAATCGAATTACCTCTGTGCACAATTCCGTTGTCATGCAAGTACGCAACAGCTTCTGTTATACTTCTAACAAGATGAGCCGCATCACGTTCAAAATAACTACCCTTCGCACAAATACGATCAAAGAGCTCGCCACCAAGGGCCAAGTCCGTTACTAAATACACTGTTCAAAATAAAAAAAGAGTTTAATTATCATCGAGATAATAAAATGAATAGCAATAATTGTGGCATAAGAACGAATAAAATAATGATTAAATGAAAAATGATAACTTACGGTTATTTAGGGTCTCAAAGTAATCTTGCAATGTTAAAATGTTTCTGTGCCCTTGTGAAATTCTCTTTAGAACAGCGATTTCATTCCGGACCATATGTTCTCTACCTTCCATCAACTTTTTATTGATGACCTTTACGGCAAAATATTGTCCTGTTTGAATCTAAAATAAAAAAATATATATTTTTTTATAGATAATTTAGATATAAGTATTCTATCAAATAATTGTATTTGTAAATATATATTTTTTTTCGATATCTTTAATTATTACAATATAAAAGAAAGAAATGGAAAAATACATACATGTTGGGCCTCTGTGAATCAATACAAGGAGAGACGCGGGTAAAATAATAATAATAATAATAATATAAATAATGAATAAGAGAATGCTTTCTTCCTGAGTACGAGGCTCCATTACTCGAAAATAACAGTGGCAAGGCAATTTAAATCTAACTCAAGAGAAAAAGGTTGAAAGACAACACTAACCTTTTACCGTAGCATAGGTTCCTTGACCTAACGTTTTACCAGTTCTATACTGAGATTCGAATGTCCGCACAAAAGCATAAAACTTTTAAGTCCCTGGTTTCCAAAGTATATATTATAAAAACTTTCAATTCCGAATAACACGTACCTGGCAAGGGACAGTTGGAACAGACATTTGTAATATGAGAAAATTTTGTAGAAAGAAATTCTTGCGAGAAAAACTTGTTTCTAGAGAGCTCTTAATAAAACTCGTAAATTTTTTTTTGCCAACCTTGTTACACCAAATTGATGTGGCTAGATGTTAAAACAAAGCATTTATCTTTCAACTACGATTACCAAAAAAATTTCCCGAAAAAAAAAAAATTGTGGATAAATCAATCAGTCTTCACAACAGTGTTTAATTTTTGGTCACGCGATTAAATTTAATAAAAATATGTATATCATATTATAGATATATTTCGCGCATTTGAATTTGCTTTTGAGCTTGATTGTTCTGTACATATCATGTTGTGCTAACATAATCCGAAATGAATTCTTTATATAAACAAACTAAAAAAATTTATAAATTAACTAATTTATATGATTAACTCAATTATATTAATATAAATTTAATCACCGCCCTTCAAAAAATCCAGAAAAGTCTCCTTCGACATATTCGCAACTTTGAATAGTAACAGAAAATTCATTTAATTCAAATGAATGAAAAAAAATAATTTAAATGCGTGTATATCTAGTAAAAAAAATGAACTGTTCTTACCATCTTTTGCATCTCTCGAAGTTAATTTTGCCTCACCACCAGCAGCTTTTACTGCGTCATCAGTAACCTTTTGAGATTTACGGATCGCGTTAAAAAGTTGTACAACTATTATGGATATAAGAAATTTTAATAATTAACTTTGCATATATAATAAATATCGCGAAATATTTAATATAATATAACCTCCACTAGTGGCCAGTTTCCTCAGTTTCCTTTCGTAATCAATAGAAGTGAGATTAGTTTTTACACGATCTTTGGATGCTAGCTTCTTCTTTTCCATATTTATAGCTCTACGTGCTCTATATTCAAGTTTAGCCTCATTTATTCGACGTTCTATATTTTTCGATCGTGATAAAATTGGAGACTTTTGAAAAATGGAAATTAACTTTATTACGGGTAAAAGTAAACGAACGATTGAATTTGACCATGTGATACATACTTCTTGACAATGTGGCTGTGCAGAAACTGTTAATAACTTATTCATAGTTTCTGCGAAGCTGGTAGTTGTATTCTTGGATTGTTTTTTCGTTACTGTAATACCAATTATAGGAACATATAAGTGAGGTATCTTTAATTAAGATAGAGATAATATTATCAGCGGTAACACATACAAATGCAATGTTAACATTTTGTCTGATTCCAAATTCTTATTATTTTTTTTTAAAAAAAATTAAAACGACACTAAATGATAATCCAAAGACTTTGTCTACATTACTTGTTCTAAGTGTTTCTTTAAGTCAAAAACCTAATTATTATATTCCTTCGTGTATAACTAATAATTTATTCTTACCTGAACTTCTTATTGAACTTCTTTTTTGATCTCGGTGGTTATTATTTCGCGTCATGTTTGCAGTATAAATTTGAGAATAATGATATAAAAAAAAAATTTTTTTTTCTGATTAATGATATTGATGATCTCCCGCGCATTCTGCATAACACATATATTAATTAAGAAATTAATAGACCATCATGTGCTCAACGATTCCTTTTTTTTACATTGACGCTTAAAAATAACTTTTTTTTCAAGATCTTCTTAAAAGTAATGATAAATATACAACTCTACAGCAAAAATATGTGCGAAGAAAAAGATTCTCTAAGATTATAGAGTTAGTTTTTCAGATGGATTTTATGTAAAATACAAAAAATCGATTTTTAATAAAAAAATTCGTATATTTATTTATAAAAAAAGAAATTTTTATTTGAATGGTGTCATTCTAGCTAAATTAGAAAATATGAATAATATACAGTTTGTGCTTATAAAAAGGTTTTACTATATTGTGATAATATAGAGATATTTTTTTATTAATTTAAATCATAACTGATTTTAATGATGTGATTATAGATAGGATAGGGTATTTATAGATAGGTTGGTAAAGTCCTAAAAAAGTCCTAATTAGTTTTAATGAATTTATAGATAATTTTTATTTATATACTGTTAATTAAATTTTTTAATAATAAATTTATCTTTTTAATTATAAATAAATTTTTTTATTAATTTAAAATAAAATTTCTTTATAATTTAGATATATACTTAAGACCTAGATTCTAAATCTAATATTTAAAGATATTTAAAAGAAATTTAACATTATTTTAATAAGTAACTTTTAATAAAAAATTTAATTATAATAATAATATTTTAAAAAAAAATTAACCTTTAAGACTAGTAATTTTTTAAAATAAATCAGGATTAATTAGAATTTTTAGGATTTTTTCTATCCTAATTATAGACAAGTTTGACTATATTTTACATAAATTTTTAAAATTCAGAAAATATTACTAAATTTTTTCATTACAGTTAATTTCATAATTCATAGATTTTAATAAATGTAATTGAATACAACTAAAATTCTATACAGATCAGATCAGATCAAATTTAGACAAAATTTGATTTAATCTGAATCTAAAAAATTTGAATTTGATTTGATTTGAATCTGATAAATCTGAATCTGATCTGAATCTATATCTGATAAATCAGAATTAAATCTGAATCTGTATCTGACAAATCTGAATTTAAGAAATCTAAATATAAATCTATATCTAAATCAATAGTTCAAAAAATTTTTTTTTCTAATTCACTTTTGAATTTTATTGTTAAAAATAACAATAAATTATTTATTTTTTAACAAAAAGCCACATCTAACATTTGAAATAGCATTTTATTATTAAAAAAAATAAGAAAAACTTATTTTTTTAATAATAAAAACTTTCTCTGAATTTCGAGACTTATAGCACTATTAAAAAAAATAAGTTTTTCTTATTTTTTAAAAATGTCATCTAAGACTTTTGGGTAGATTAAAGTATTAAAAAAATAAGAAAATCTTATTTTTTCAATAATAAAATCTGCCTTTGAATTTCAAGGCAGATTGTACTATTAAAAAAAAATAAGTTTTTCTTATTTTTTAATAATAAATATCACTTCTAACTTTTAGGATGGATTGTATTATTAAAATAAATAAGAAAAACTTATTTTTTAATAATAAAGCTATCTTTGACTTTTGAGATAGATTATATTATTAATAAAATATGAAAAGCTTATTTTTTTAATAATAAAAACTGACGCTGACTTTAGAACAAATTATATTATTAAAAAAATAATATTTCAAATCTAGTAGATCTGATCTGAATCCAAATCTGAATCTGACAGATCAAATTTATATTAAAATTTGATTTAGTCAAATCTAAATTCAAATTTGATTTGAATTTAACAGATCATATCCCTATAAATAATTAGTATAAGGAAAGTATACGGAAATAATACGTTTAATAAACATATAAAAAACGTAGACAAAC